TGGTCACTTCACGTGATCCTGGGACACTGTGACCGTCATAAATATGAATCAGTTGCCAGGCATCTGAATGTAAATCACAAGACCCTGGAGATGCTGCAACATTCCAGCTGATCGGCGTGTCTTCTGGGCTCAGCAGAAGGGCCAGATCAGCGCTGAGCTCCAGCTGGAGCCTGGTGCTGATCCTAGCACTTCCACTGAGTCCTGAGAGTCCCGAAGAAGCACCAATCAGCTGGAAAGCAGCATTGATCCTGGCGCTTCCGCTGAGGCCTGACAGCTCTGCAGCTCCAGCCATCTCTCGCTCAGGCTTGTGTGGTGCTGCCACCAGTTCAGCTCATTCCCCTCCCCCCTACCACTTTTCTAGGATGGTCATGTACCACCTGCCAGGTGCCAATGTACCACAGGTGGTACCCGTACCACTGGTTGAAAAGCCCTGCTCTAGATAGTGTCACCAGTAGTTTAACAGGCCCCACCTAATTACGAAGGCCTCCTTCTCCCAGATTGCCCATCCCCTCTCGCTTTCAGTGAATTTTTTGGAGGTGTAGGCGCAGGGTTGCAGGACCCCCCTTTTTTCTTTTGCAGTAATACAGCTCCAACTGCCACCTGGTACCATTTTTGCAATCAATCGGGTACCACTTGATAGATGCATGCCTGATATATATTGTCAAAGCAAGAACATCCAATGTTAGCAACGTTGACATCAAGTTTACAACATTTTTTGAAGGCGAATGAGATAATCGTAAGCGCCAATGCCACGGATGTAAGTGACGAATTTGGGCAAAACTGTTGTAAGATGCAGTTGTGTGACTGCGGGAAGCTGTGAGTGGCCGTCACAGGGGTCCTGCTGTTGAGAGCCTGAAGTTCAGTTATGTGACTGTGGAGCCCCCTCCCCACAAATGGGTCAGAAGTAGCTTGAAGGTAGGTCTGTTGTAACTTTGAATGGCTGCTAAGTGACTGGTCGTAAATCAAGGATTAATCTTTAGGGTTGGTTAACAAGTCCACCCTTCCGGGATGCTCACCTGCTCCCTTGGTCACGACCGGTTTCGGCTTGCTCCGGGCCCCGTCCCCTTTCATGGTGTAGGCAGCGACTGTGACCGAGTAAGTGGTCTCTGGCTGAAGTCCAGAGATGACCATTTCCTGAGGAATTAAAGCAAAGAATTAACACAAAAAAGACTTCCTTCCTTCCACCCTTTTCCTTCCTTCCTTCCTTCCTTCCTTCCTTCCTTCCTTCCTTCCTTCCTTCCTTCCTCTTCTTTCCTTCCGTCCTCCCTCCCTTTTCTTTCCTTCCTTCCTTCCTCCTTCCTTCCTCCCTCCCTTTTCTTTCTTTCCTTCCTTCCTTCCTCTCTCTTTTCTTTCCTTCCTTCCTTCCTTCCTCCCTCCCTCCCTTTTCTTTCTTTCCTTCATCTCTCCCTTTTCCTTCCTTCCTTCCTTCCTTCCTTCCTTCCCTTCCCTTCCCTTCCCTTCCCTTCCAGAAAACAACCAGGATCCAGCATGCAAGACACGGCACAAAGCAATCCTTGACACATCACATCACAAGGAAACAGGGACAGGTGGGGAGAAAACCAGACATTCCGCATACCAAACACACAACTTGCAATGAAGACCCCGTATTTGCAGCCCAAAGCTTTGAGCAAACAGGGAGGGCTCCATTCTTTCTTGTCATCAGAGAAAAATGGTCTTATCAACAGGACGTCTGTGGGTTCCACAAAGGGACCGGACCCCAAAAGAAAAAATGACTGTTCTCAACCCAATTGGCTAAAGAATAAGAGAGATGGAAGGGACTTTGGAAGTCTTCTTGTTCAGAGGTCCCCAATCCCCGGGCCGTGGACCAATACCGGGCTGCGGTATGCTGGCAACCGTTCCATATCTGCGAGATGCAGGCAGCCTGGAAGTGGGCCGTGGCCCACAGATTGGGGACCCCTGTTCTATAGCATATAAATCAGCTGCTTGAGAATAAGAAGGCCAAAAGATGCATTTTACAAATCCTGCAATTTTCAGCAGCTCAGTTTGCACAAAGGACACACTTATCTTGGTTTAATCCTTGCGTCTTAACCTGGTTTTCCATAGCAGTACATTTATATTACCGTAGTTTGTGTATTAATTTGTATATTAATTTGTGTATTAAGCTGCTTTAACTGGGCACACTTTAACAAGGGCACACTTAGGTTGGTTTAACCATCACTTGTTACGTTAGTTTAACATGATCTGCCTCTTTGCACAGTTATGTTGATCTATCCCTCATCTCTTAAACTCTTTTAACAGGGTCAGTACAAGGACACACTTATGTTGGTTTAACCTTCACCTCTTCAGCTAGTTTACGGGATCTGCATCTTTGCACACTTAGTCTAATCCTCACCTCTTAAGCTGGTTTAACAGGCTCTGTCTCTCTGCACATTTATGTGGGTCTAACCCTCATTGCTAAAGTTGGTTTAACAGACTCTGTATCTCTGCAAAACTATGTTGGTTTAACTCTCATTTCTTAAGCTACTTTACAGGTATAGTATAGGGGGTAACTTGCTCAATAATAGCAACTGTGAGAGGGACCTCGGAGTTCTAGTGGACAATCACTTAAATAGGAGCCAGCCGTGTGCGGCAGCTGCCAAAAAAGCCAACACAGTCTTAGGCTGCATTAACAGAGGGATAGAATCAAGATCAGGTGAAGTATTAATACCACTTTACAATGCCTTAGTAAGGCCACACTTGGAATACTGCATCCAGTTTTGGTCACCAGGATGTAAAAAAGATCTTGAGACTCTTTTAGAAAGAGTGCAGAGAAGAGCAACAAAGATGATTAGAGGTCTGGAGGCTAAAACATATAAGGAACGGTTGCTGGAATTGGGTCTGTCTAGTTTAACGAAGAGAAGGACGAGGGGGGACATGATAGCAGTGTTCCAATATCTCAGGGGCTGCCCCAAAGAAGAGGGAGTCAAGCTATTCTCCAAAGCGCCTGAAGGCAGGAAAAAAAAGCAACGGATGGAAACTAACCAAGGAGAGAAGCAACCTAGAACTAAGGAGAAACTTCCTGACAGTTAGAACAATTAACCAGTGGAACAACCTGCCTCCAGAAGTTCTGAATGCTCCCACACTGGAAGTCTTTAAGAAGAGACTGGACAGCCATTTGTCCGAAATGGTATAGGGTTTCCTGCCTGAGCAGGGGGTTGGACTAGATGACCTTCAAGGTCCCTTCCAACTTTACTATTATTATTATTATTATTATTATTATTATTATTATTATTATTATTATTATTATTATTATTATTAAACAGAGTCTGAACATTTATGCTAGTCTAACCCTCACCATTTAAGCTAGTTTAACAGGATCTGCACCTCTTGCACTCTCATGTTGGTTTAACTCTGGTTTCTAAATGTTGGTTTAACTCTGGGTTAACGACTGCGCCTCCCTCCCCCATACTCCATGCAAAAAAACTAAGGCAACATTCAGAGAGAGGCTGAAACACTCCAAGCCACACAAAAATCAACACAGGTGGGGGGGGGGGAAGAAAGGGAGATACTCCAATGCCATGCCATCACTAATAACAGGGAAGGGAGCCGAGAAGAGACCACCACAACGGAAGCGTTTTACTTACGTATTCTGCAGTGTTATCGGTCTCCCACTGAACAAAAGAAGGTAGGCAGGTGAGGATGAAAAGGGGAAAGAGAAAGAAAAGTGAGGTGACGGGGGGAGCACGGAGGGGCTGCCTGGGGAGAGACAGGCCGGCGCTCAGAAGCCCCCCCCCTGCAGCTGCTGGGGCAAAGTGGGGCGGGGGGGAGGAGATCCGTGGGGTTAGTAAAACGCATCACTCTGGTTAATGAAGTTATAGACAGGGACAGATGAACCGGGCTGGGAGGGAGCAATTACAGGTTCTGTAGTCCTCAACTTACAGCCCTTCGTTTAGTGACCGACGTTAGAACAGCACTACATCAGATAGCGCAACCCTCGTAAACGCAGGCCAGCTGGCAAATTTTGATTTGGTGACCACAGGGAGGCCGAAAAGGGGTCCTTTTTTTCAACGCCGTTGTAACTTCGAACGGTCTACCCCAGTGATGACAAACGTTTTAGAGACCGAGTGCCCAAACTGTAACCCAAAACCCGCTTATTTATCGCCAGGTGCCAGGTGTGCATGGCTGTGGTGGTCAGGGCAGAATGGGTGGGTGTGGCCAAGGTGGGCATGGTCACCTCTATGTTGCTCATGGGCAGGGACTCCTGTGGGGGCCAGACAGGGTTGGGGGAGATCCAGGGGGTCTCTGGCGTGTGGGGCGGTGGGCAGGAGGCTCGTCCTGCGGGGTGAGGGGAGGCGAGGCAGGGCGGGGGTGCCATTGTCGCAGGGCAAGGCGAGGCAGGGGCCGGGGTGGCTGCTGCCAGACACCATCGGCCCCCGCACACATGGGGGCCGACAGTGTCCGTCAGCAGCCACAGCCTGCCGGTCTTTCGACCGGCACACTCTGGAGCTCTGCAGCCCGTTGCCAGCAGTTCAGAGAAGCCACCTCTGAGCTCAACGGCCGGCAGACAGCTGAGGAGGTGATGCAGTGGGTCATGCCCAGGAAAAGGAGAGCATGCGAGGCCAGGAGGGATGGGATGGGGGGGAGGGACACCAACTGTGCTGGGATACATCCAGCCACGTGGGACCTTGGCAAGTTAGTGTGGGGCTGCTTGAAGAGGGATGGTTGCCATCTCCGGGGCATGGCGCGCGTGCCCACAGAGAGGGCTCCGAGTGCCGCCACTGGCACGCGTGCCATAGGTTCGCCTCCACTGGTCTACCCGTAAGCATGTTCAATTCTTGCCTGCAATCCCTTCTTTGACGGCGCTGCGTCACTGGGCTCCACTGCCTGCTTTTTGAAACCCGGAGAAAGGGCTGCCGCGTTAACGAGGCTTTTAAATCCGAATCATGAGGACTAGGATCTTTCTCCCTACGGGAGAGATGCGCCTCGCTTGGCCTGTAAACAATCAGGGCTTGGCACCTCCAGGTAGAACTGGGAAAGGCTCCTATCTACTTTGATAAGACAAATCCGGGCACTTGCCCACCGGCCTGGCTTTCCGATGGGGGCCGAGCCACGGGATCGCAACCTTCCCAGCCAGCTTTCAACAGGGAAAGTCAACGGGGAAAGCCGGAAGGGAAGAAACTCAAGCGATGCCTCGCTTAAGAACCATTGAGGGTTCGCTTAACGACTACGGCAAAAAATAAAAAAGCTCATAAAATCCAGGGGGGGGGGGCGGGAGGCAGCCCTGTGATGCCTGACTTCATGACCACAAATTTGTGTGTTGACTCGGGCACCAAAAAGAGGAGGAGGAGGAGGCAGAGGAGGAGAAAAGGGAAGCGTCCGTTGTTAATGAGCTATTAAGTTAATAAGCCTGGGGTTCGAATCCAGCCGTGAGAAGCCGCCTGCCACCAAAAAGGAGATACACACACACACACACGCACACGCAGACACACCCCTCACCTGAGCGTCAGCCAACATGACATCCTTGATCTGGGGCAAGCCACTGGCTTCTCCGTTCTCCATGCGGACGTAATGCACCTGGTAGCCACGTATCTGTCCGTGCTGGCGGTTTTGGACTGGGGAGCGCCAGAAAACCTGGATGGCCGTTGAATTGAGGACTTCGACCTCCACCTTGCGAGGTGGGGCACTGGGCACTGGAGGCAGAAGGGAGGAGGAGCAGAGAGGGGGGAGGGAAAGTGGAGAGAGACAGAAAGGGTTCCGCTTTAATAGGAAGAATCAATCATTTAAAGCGAAAAGCGGGTCTCTGGTTTTCGTGCGCAGCCGAAGACGCCGATGGAACCCCAATTCCGTGCATCCCGGTTTCCCACCGAGAGCCGCAACACACAACTGTGGGATGCAGTGACAGGTGTGCACCTCCAGTGCGCGTTTCTCTAAATTCTCTAAACCGCCTTGCTTAGCAACAGAAATTCTGGCTCCCATTGTGGTGATAAGTCAAGGACTACCTGCATTAGCTGGTGCAAGATTGGCTCCCATTTTTTGTTGATATATTTGTGGGTGCATGTTGCACTTGGATGTTTTAATGCAGGGGTCTTCAAACTTGGCCCTTTTATGACTTGTGGACTTCAGCTCCCAGAATTCCTCAGCCAGGCAGAATTCCTTGTCTGGCTGAGGAATTCTGGGAGTTGAAGTCCACAAGTCATAAAAGGGCCAAGTTTGAAGACCCCTGTTTTAATGGTTGTAAGCCACCATGAAACTAATGAAAGCTGCTAACATCGGATGTTTTTGCTTTGACAACAGTTGGAGATGCAACCTTTTTCTTCTTATGTTTTACTCTTAGAGTTAGAGTTAGATGATGCTGGGGGGGAGGAATGTGCATGAGAGTTTAGCTAGACATAACAATACTGGACCTAGTGTGAGAATCAAGGTTATTGAAATAAGAGATGATAAGAATTGGCAGGCTGGAGAACCGGAGGGAAAGTCTACATTTCAAACTAATTGGAGAATGTGATTTATGACTGTTAATTGGTGGAGGGAACTGTGCTTTGATACTATGTGCTCAGGGGAAGGGAATTCAGATTTTGGCTTCGACTGTGTTAGTGCCGATGCGAGTCCGCAAGGAGAAGGGCGGGATATAAATTCGAACAATAAATAAACAATAAATAAATAAAGATTCTTTAAGGTAAACAATGCCTCAAAGTTCTTTGAAGAGTTTCATCTGTCGGAACCATGACACTGGGTATATAAGATTAAATTAACTGAGGCTCTTCCTAGCTTTCTTTACAGATGTGAAGAATTCTAGCTGGCGTTTTCCCCACGTGTTCAGCCTCTGAACTCTGATTGTTCCCAAGGAAGGGGAAAAAAAAAGCTTTAATTAAGTCTCTTCCCTATGGCAACCATAAAGATTAGCTGATGAAAAAACAGCCATCCACTATCTTGGATTTCAATTTTTTATGCAGGTTAAAAAAAATATATTCCTCTTAAATTTGGATGATTCGGGGACTTGTTTAATTCCCAGGAAGAAAGGAAATAAAATGCCCCTGTTAACCTCAAGGTTGGGCCGGATTAAAGTCAGAATCGCTTAAAACAAAAGGCAGAATGCATGCTGATCACCTTGGGGCAAAATTATTGGTAGAATATAAGTAGTCCTCGACTTACAGGCATTCATTTAGTGAAGTTGCGACAGCACTAAAACCAGTGACTTACGACCGTTTGTCACATTTAACGACCGTTACAGCATCCCCATGGCCATGTGACCAAAATCTGGAAGCATGGCAACTGACTCCTATTTACGACAGTTGCAGTGTCCAGGGCTCATGTGATCCTTTTGCAGCCTTTTGACCAGCAAAGTCACTTAGCAATTGTGTTACTTAACAATTGAGTTACTAACTTAACAACTGCTGCGATTCACGTAACAGTAGCAAGAAAGGTGGTAAAATGGGGCAGAATTCCCTTAACAGCTGTCCTGCTTAGCAACAGAAATGTTGGGCTCAGTTGTGGTCGTAAGTTGAGGACTGCCTATATAACTGGTAATCTCTCACCCATCCAGCTGTGGCTGAAAAACCAAAAATTCCCACGGATTAAGCTTCATTCCTGAACCTTCATGGATTCAACCCCGTAGAGCAGGGGTCTTCAAACTTGGTCCTTTTATGACTTGTGGACTTCAACTCCCAGAATTCCTCACAAAGTGTGCCTGGCTGAGGAATTCTGGGAGTTGAAGTCCACAAGTATTAAAAGGGCCGAGTTTGAAGACCCCTGCCGTAGAGCAATTTGGAAGGGATTTCTCACTGCTTTCTCTAGGAATTTTTTAGGGACTTCTTAATGTAGCCTAGAGCATTGGGATCTCCTGATGGGCTCCTTTCAAAGGATAAATAAGTGATCTGTCTTAGCTTTTGGGGGATAAGGCCAAGCCAGGTTAAGTGTTGCTACGTGTTATGAAAAGTTAAAAGGACCAGCTAGCTTTCCAGCCATTATTGGTTAGAATAGAATAGAATAGAATAGAATAGAATAGAATAGAATAGAATAAGAAAGGAATGGAATGGAATGGAATAGAATAGAATTACAGAATAGAATAGAATAGAATTACAGAATAGAATAGAATAGAATAGAATAGAATAGAATAGAATTACAGAATAGAATAGAATAGAATAGAATAGAATAGAATAGAATACTTTTAGAATAGAATAAAATAGAATAGAATAGAGCAGAGTGGAGTGGAGTGGAATGGAATAGAATAGAATTACAGAATAGAATAGAAGAGAGTGGAGTGGAGTGGAGTGGAATAGAATAGAATTACAGAATAGAATAGAATAGAATAGAATAGAATCCTTTTAGAATAGAATAGAATAGAATAGAATAGAATAGAATCCTTTTAGAATAGAATAGAATAGAATAGAATAGAATAGAATAGAATAGAATAACAAGAGTTGGGAGGGACCTTGGAGGTCTTCTAGTCCAACCCCCTGCTCACGCAGGGAAACCCTATATCATTTCAGACAACTGGTTGTCCAGTCTTTTCTTGTTTAGTCATCATAACTTGTTACAAGGATACACTTCAACTGGGGAAGGTTTTATTGCTGTAAATAAAAATGGATGGGTTTAGAAAAAGGAGAACAGGGCGACATTTTCTGTTAAGAAAAGCAAATTACTCCCTATACAGATAGTCCTTAACTTACAACAACTCATTTAGTGACCGTTGGAAGTTTACAACAGCACTGCAAAAAGGGACCTACGACCGTTTTTCACACTTACAACCGTTGTCATGTGATCAACATTCAGACACTTAGCAACTGACTCACATTGATGACCGCTGCAGTGTCCCCGGGTCAGGTGATCGCCTATTACGACCTTCCGGCGTACACAGTCCGTGGGAAACCCAGTTTCACTTAACAACCGGGTGACTAGTTTAACAACCGCAGTGATTCTCTTAAGAACGGTGGCAAGAAAAGTCGTAAAATGAGGCAAAACTCACTTAACCACAAGAAATTTTGAGCCCAATTGCGGTCGTAAGTCAAGGACTACCTGTAGTTTAACGCAGCCATAAGAGAGCCTCTAAATCAGGGTTTCTCCAACTTGGCTACTTTAAAATGTATGGACTTCAACTCCCAGAATTCCCCAGCCAGCAATGCTGGCTGGGGAATTCTGGGAGTTGAAGTCCATACATTTTAAAGTAGCCAAGTTGGAGAAACACCACTCTAAATTCTCAGTTAGTTTTATTGTCCCAGGGAAATTGGCACGACAATACTTTTTACATTTTCTCCATTATCCAGCTGACTTTTGGGCATCTTACCATGTCCTTTCCAGAGAGTGTGATAAATGAGACGCTCGAAAGTAAATAAAGTGCCACTAGAAATTCATTAATGGCGGTTCGCAACACCTTTCCACGAGAGAGTTACTGGCTCTATCACACTGCCTCGGCTCCAAAGAGTTTTCCACTGATTTATGGGTCCAAACCATTCCAGAGAAAACGTCTCCGGAGTTTTGGGCAGTAAGAAACCCAGATTCCCCACACTGGAAAGGGAGGTGTGATTTCCAGACAGGTGGGCCTTACATTTTTGGGGGGGGATGGGAGCAGACAGGAATTATGGCTAAGCAAGCCAGGATCTTAAAGCTTTTTCACCATTGTGTTTTTTTCACCGTTCTGTTTCATCCTGGAACCAGCCAGTTTCGCCTAGTGGCGAACGCAGCAGGCTAAAAAACGGGAGACGGTGAGTTCTAGTCCTGCCTTCGATATGAAATTTGGCCGGGAGGCTTTGAGCCGATCACCAGGAAACGGTGAGTTCGAGTCCCGCCTTAGGCATGAAAGCCAGCTGGGTTACTTTAGGCCAATCACTAGGAGAAAGTGAGTTGTAGTTCATTTTTAGTCACACAAGGTAGCTTTGGGTCAATCACTAGGAGAGTGTGAGTTCTAGTCCCGCTTTAGGCATAAAAACTGGCTGGGTGACTTTCAGGCAATCATCAGCAGACAGTGAGTTCTAGTCCCGCCTTAGGCACGAAAGCCAGCTAGGTGACTTTGGGCCAATCACCTTGAGACGGTGAGTTCTAGTCCCGCCTTAGGCACAAAAGCCAGCTGGGTGACTTTGGGCCAATCACCGGGAGACGGTGAGTTCTAGTCCCGCCTTAGGCACGAAAGCCAGCTAGGTGACTTTGGGCCAATCACCTTGAGACGGTGAGTTCTAGTCCCGCCTTAGGCACAAAAGCCAGCTGGGTGACTTTGGGCCAATCACCGGGAGACGGTGAGTTCTAGTCCCGTCTTAGGCACGAAAGCCACCTGGGTGACTTTGGGCCAATCACCGGGAGACGGAGAGTTCTAATCCCGCCTTAGGCACGAAAGCCAGCTAGGTGACTTTGGGCCAATCACCGGGAGACGGTGAGTTCTAGTCCNTGACTGGTCAAAGTAATACAGGTGGGATACAAATACATACACAAATAAATTTAGGGAAAAGTCCCACTTACCATCTTCGTCGGTACGGACAATGACGGGCGAGCTTTCCGGGCCGGGCCCCATAATCGTATGCGCCACCACGGTGATGCGGTACTCCGTCCATTTCTCCAGGGCTTCGAGGGCGATCTGGGTGGTTGCGGCGGGGATATCCTTCACCTCTTTCAATTCGCTGACCTCGGGATCCAGAGCTCGATAACGGACGCTATAGCCTTCCAAGTCACCGTTTTGGCTCTCAACCGGCGGTGGTTGCCAACTTACCAGAATGGCCGTGGACCTGGTGCTGACACATTTTACGTCTTGAGGGGGGGCGGACGGTTCTACGGTAGCGGGAGGGGTAGTTTGGGATGGCGGGAATCAAGGGAAGAGGGGAAAAGGGGGGGCGGGCGGAAAACAAAATATAGGAAAGATAAAAGGAAACAAAAAAAAGAAAAGAAAAGAAAATGATAACAAAAAAACCCGAAACGAAACGCACCAAAAATAAACTTGGTTCCGGGGAGCACAAAAAACTTGAAAAACAAAATGAAACTTTTTTGTTGTTTTTTAAATTAAAAAAAAGGGCTTATTTGCCGCGAAAACTGAAATAAACAAAGGATTAACTGGGGGGGGAAGGCAAGCGGAGGTGGCAACGTAAAGCAGGCAACTCACGAGACAACGGGGTTTGGTTGGGCTAGCTAGTGCTTAGGGGAGGTTGAAAAAGTCAAGATGGCGCTCAGCAGGGCACGACTGTGGCGGCCATTTTGAGCTTCTGCCTCTCTGGTTGGGGGCGAGACAGGGCCTGGGGGGCTGCTTTGTGGAATAAATTTTTCCATCAAATATTTTAGCCTGCAAGGGACAAACTGGAACATAAATAAAGCACATAGATCAGTGTACCTCAACTGTGGGGATTTTAAGATGGGTGGACTTCAACTCCCAGAATTCCCCAGCCAGCCATGCTGGCTGGGGAATTCTGGGAGTTGAAGTCCACCCATCTTAAAGTCCCCACAGCTGAGAATCACTGGCATAGAACATTGTGCTTCTTTCATTCCTATAAAGGATAAATCCTTCCTGTCACCCATCCTATTCCCATCATTGGGGAAAACACGGGACCGCCGGGATCTACTCCCTCTGCAATTCCAACGACAAGCAATCAAAATCTCCTCCCCGAATCTGTTTCCTTCCCAACCTGGCCTTAAAGCCAGGAGGGATCCGTTGCTTTCCTGAATCCCCTCTCTGCAATCAAAGGAAAATGGCCGGAATCTTCTCCATTCGCTAATCTCCATTTTCCAAATGGCAATTTATAACCATTACGAAGACTTTTAGTACCCAGAGCAGAAAGAAGGTTTTTCCAGCTATTTCCAACAACTGGATTGCCCTCCAGATGCCAGGCTGGCCCCTGGTAACCAACGTTAAGTTGGTACAGAAGGAAAATCTTTATTTTTTTTCTGCTTAAAAAAGTGCCCAATTCAAATTCACCTTCTCGGCTTCAGCACGATACCCCTTGAAAGAAGCTTAGTTGGGAGTTATACAGATAGTCCTCGACTTACGACCACAATCGAAACCAGATTTTCCACTGTTAAGGTGGCTGCGCCTGATTTTGCAACCTTTTCTCTCCAGGGTTAAGTGAAAGTGTCAAGGTAATAAACAGCTAAGCAGCTTGTATAATGTAAGATGTATGATGCAATGTTGGGAATGACTCAGCAGGGTCTGTGTCCCTTTAATAGCCAGCTGGGTCTGTGTCTCTTTAAGAGCTTTTGTGTAAAAGGGAAGGGAATGACTCAGCAGGGTCTGTGTCCCTTTAAGAGCCAGCTGGGTCTGTGTCTCTTTAAGAGCCTTTGTACACAAGGGAAGGCTCCGCAGAGGTGTTCTCTCTCTTCCGTTTCCTGCTGTAACTATGGTTTGTTGGAGCCTGCTGTATTAACACATGTATGTATATTGTTCCTGGTGTATGACATTGTAGACAGTGTAAGATAAACCACCATTTAATATAGACCACTGTTTACTGTGTTCACTCCTGGGTTATCTCAGTGCAATAAGACTGTGCATGCTCTGACAGAAAGGCTTGCAGTTGGTTAAGTGAATCACACGGTCGTTAAGTGAATCCAGCTTCCCCCATTCGGGTCCAAAGCCAGCTGGTCAGAAGCCGCCAATGGCTTTCATGTGACCCTGGGATGCTGCAGCCGTCGTAAATGCATGTTGGTTGCCAAGCGGCCTAATTTGGATTACATAAGGGTGGGAATGCTGCAACCGTCATAATAGCGAGGACTGTCTTTTTTTTCCAGTAGCGTTGTAATTTTGACTGGTCGCGAAAGGAATGGTTGTAAGTGGAGAACTATCTATAGTTTTTAAAAAACTATCTATAGTTTTTTTTTAAAAAAAGGTGAAAGGGAAATTGTTGCTTATACCTTGTTAACTAGATTTTATCAAGATACATCTTGATAAAATCTAGTTAACAAGGTATAAGCAACAATTTCCCTTTCACCTTTTTTTTTTTAATTTCCGGAGGCTCAAATAAATTCTCCGTTGGGTTTCCTGGTTTCTTTAGGGCAAGGATCTCCAAATATGGCAACTTTAAGACTTGTGGACTTCAATTCCCAGAATCCCCCCCGTCTCGGCTGGCTGAGGAATTCTGGGAATTGAAGTCCAGTTGCCCAATTTGGAGATTTCTGGTTTAGAGATTGGTATTCAGGGGAAGGAGGGTGAAAATAATTCGCAAACTGTTCCAGAATTCACACATCTCCATTTCTTAACTAGCCTTCCGAAAGAACCAGCGACGGACAATCGAAAGCAACAAGAGAAGTTTGGAAAGCAAAGAAATCAAGCGATAAAAAAACAAATCGTCGGGTTCAAAATAAAATAAAATAAGGGAAATAACCATAATAATAATAATAATCCTCAAATTATTCATCAAGCAAAGCCTTCTAGAGTCCACGTTCAGTAGTCTGGTTTACCTACCTTCGGCTCTGGTTAACTTTATCAGACTGTCTCACGAAAGCTCAGCTGGGGACGATGGGATTCACGGAAGGTTCCTAGCCACAGGCCTGAACTCACTGGCTCCCCCCCCCCAAGCACCCATATTCCTGCCCTCCAACCTGGCTGCTTCTAACAGGCTTCAGCAGAGAAAGTAACAGAGAGGCCCCTTGTTTTCAAGTGGTGCCAAGAAGAGTTCTGGGTTCAAATTACAGTCCCGTTCTTGTCCCTGAGGCTACTCTTTCCCGGAATGATGTAAATCCCGATTGAAATGAGTAGGACCAGCTTTCCAAACCAAATTCAACCGGGAGAGGGGGGGGTGTTTTCAGATTGTGTTTCTCCAGCTCAGCCACATGAAGATGGGTGGACTTCAACTCCCAGAATTCCCCAGATTGAATCTGGTTCGGAAAGCCGGTCCTAAGACTCATTTCAATCAGGATTTACAGGCTGAAAAATAGTGGGTACTCAAAATAAGGGCAGCAATATTTGCAAATGTTATGCCAAGATTGTCTTCTCTCACAAGGTCAAACTAATTTAAATGGAAAAGCACTTACTCGCACCTTTCTTACAGAGATGTTTATTTTTATTTAAATTACGGGTACCACTTCTAAATGCCTAGCCATATCCTATTGAAAATTAACCCAGCGATGTTTGTGCAGTTTCTCACTTCTTTTAAGGCAGGGGCAATTAATTTTCCCAAAGGTCGCAGGAGGGGCGAAACAATAGGGCTGCGAGGGTGTGTAGGCACACACCAACACACATATGTAAAATTAAAAAAAGAAAAAAAAGGGGGGGGGAAAGGAGTCACCTTCAAAATAAAAGAAATCCACACGGCCCCGAAAGGGATATCCCCAGGTCTTTTTTAGAGGTAAGCAAATAGCCACATTATCCCCCCAATAATAAATAAAAATTATCCCCCCAAAATAATAATAAAGCAGGGGGGTTGGACTAGATGACCTCCAAGGTCCCTTCCAACTTTATTATGATTATATTATTATTATTATATTATAAATTTTCCCACCTATGAAGGTGCCCTTGGTAAGGTAAAGCTATAATCTCAAAAGAGCTGTGCCAGATCAGAGTCACTTCAGACTGTGATATAGGTGGCAAAGAAATTTAATATAGGTAGTCCTCGGCTTACAACCGCTTGTTTAGTGACCGTTCGAAGTTACAACGGCACTGAAAAAAGTGACATGATCGTTTTTCGCGCTCACGGCCGCTGCAGCTTCCCCACGGTCACGTGATCGAAATTCGGACACTTGGCAACTGACTCATATTTACGACGGTCGCAGCGTCCCCGTGATCAGGCAATTTCCCTTTTGCGACTTTTTAACAAACAAAGCCAATGGGGGAAGCCAGATTTGCTTAACAGCCGTGTGACTCGCTTCACAACGGCAGTGTTTCGATTCACGACGGTGGCCGTAAAGGCCGTAAAACGGGGCCGAACTTGTTCAAACAAGCTGTCTTGCTTAGTGACAGAAACGTTGGGCTCCATTGCGGTCGTAAGTTGAGGACTACCCGTCAGGATAACAGTGAAATCAATCCCATAGCTGGCTTATTCAGCATTTTGAGGACAAAGGGTCAAAATCAGAAGCCCCGCTGAGGGAGATCGCAAGGGGGTGGTGAAAACCTATCCATATATTTTCTTAGGCAGATTCCAAAACCGACAATTGTGAAGCAAGTTCAGACACTGGATTTATTTGCTCCCAACAGGGCTCAAATTTTTGCCTTCTAAGAATCTACCTTTCCTGTTTTGACCCTGTCAAAATCATCTAATGATGGGAAAAAAGTCTCCCGAAATACAAGATACAGGTAGTCCTCGACTTACAACAGTTCGTTTAGTGACCGTTCCAAGTTACAACGGTACTGAAAAATGTGACGTACGACCGTTTTTCAACTCAGTTACAACCTTTGCAGCATCGCCTTGATCGTGGGATCAAAATTCAAATGCTCGGCAACTGGCTCGTACTTACGACGGTCGCTGTGTCGCTCACACGATCCCCTTTTGCGACCTTCTGACAAGCAAAGTCAAGGGGGGGCGGGGAGAAGCCAGATTCACTTAACAACCGGCTTACTAACTTATCAACCGCAAAGATTCACTGTGACCAGAAAGGTCGTAAAATGAGGCAAAACTCACTTAACAAATTGTCTCGCTTAACGACAGAAATTTTGGGCTCAACTGCGCTCGTAAGTCGAGGACTATCTGTATGACGTTTTGTCCATTCCCAACCCATAAAATATTTCAGTTTATGGAGAGAATGAGAGATGCCCAAATCTAATTTTTTACGCGTGTTTAGCCTGGCTGGCGGATTACATTAGTTCTGCCTCGATCCCGCTTAGTTTTTAGTCTTTTATGCTGAATTCCATTGTT